TCCTTTAAATTGATTTCTGGAGATTATCCAAGGTGCTTCGGGTCCCAAGCCCAACTTTGGGAACCAAAGTGCAGTGGTTCCCAAACTTTTCAGCTTTTGACCCACAAAATAACAGTAGCAGAGACCTGAGCCCCCAGATATTTTTGGATGATAAACATTTGTATCAGGTCAACTAAACATGGGCATAGTAACAATATTTTTATACTACATTTATCCATTTTAAATACACTAAACACACTCCTTTGTAACAACTAAGGCAAAAATGTAATTAATTCAGAAAATCTTTTCAGGACCCCACCTTGATGTTTTGGGACCCCACTTCCCAACTTTGGGAAACACTGATCTAAAGAATTGGCCGTGACACTGAGCCCTACTAGCTGCAAAATTGTAGCTTGAAGCAAATTATCCATTTAGATGAAAGCTGCTGACGCAGAGTGTTTTCTGTTGACTGTTGTTTTGTGATGGAGCAGCTGAGTAAAGTTCACCGCATCTTGTTTTGTTGAATCCAGCTCTGGTCATCGTGCCCACCAGAGAACTGGCTCTACAAGTCAGCCAAATATGCATCCAGGTCAGCAAACACATGGGCGGGGTGAAGGTGATGGCAACCACAGGTGGAACCAACCTCCGCGACGACATCATGAGACTGGACGAAACGGGTAAATGAAACCGGTTCAGCCCATCGAGGCGCCTCTGAACGTCTCATTCATGTGAGTTTGTGTTTCAGTACACGTGGTGATCGCCACTCCCGGCAGGATTTTAGACCTCATCAAGAAAGGAGTGGCCAAAGTCAATCAAGTGCAGATGATCGTTTTGGATGAAGTGCGTATATTTCTCTGCTTCAGTTTGTTTATTTAAATAAATCACTAAAACTGAAACATTTCTGTGTTTAAAGGCTGACAAACTCCTGTCTCAAGACTTTGTTGTTATGATGGAGGAGATGCTGGGCTTCCTGCCCAAACACAGGCAGATCTTGCTTTATTCTGCCACATTTCCTCTCAGCGTGCAGAAGTTTATGGTACGTTTCATTTTCACATTAAAACATTTACTTTGTTTTGACCTGTAAAACAAGCCTTGTTTTTTTTTTTTTAGAACGCACACCTGCAGAAACCTTACGAGATCAACCTAATGGAGGAGCTGACGCTGAAGGGTGTGACTCAGTATTATGCTTATGTAACTGAGAGGCAGAAAGTGCATTGCCTCAACACCTTGTTTTCCAGAGTAAGTCTTCTGCAGTCCAGCGTTAAGACTTGTTTTTATGTTTGCTGCTGATTCTTATTGTCTATAAAAGCTTAATGCTGATTAATGTTTGTTTCTTCCAGCTCCAGATCAACCAGTCGATCATCTTCTGTAACTCCTCTCAGAGAGTAGAGCTTCTTGCCAAGAAGATCTCCCAGCTTGGTTATTCATGTTTCTACATTCATGCCAAGATGAGACAGGTCAGCTGGAGAACTGCCCCACAAACCTGTTGAAGCTAAAATAGACGCTCTGTTAATAATACTGCTGCTTTTGTTCTTTAAGAAAAAAAATAATTTTTTTTCATTCTTAAGTTGTCTGATAATAAAATCGTTTAACTTTTTTTGTTGGTGCTCAGGAACATCGTAACCGCGTGTTCCACGACTTCAGAAACGGCCTCTGCCGGAATCTCGTCTGCACTGGTGAGTCGCACCACTCGGCTTTTCACCGGTGCTAAAACCCTGAAATCTGAGGGTTTTTTTTTTTCAAAGTTTTTTATTATTTTTAACAAACCACAAACAAAAATCAAACTAACAAAAAAAAACACCCCTGAGACCCCTCCCATCCCTCCCCACCTATACCGGATCTACTAACAAAACATAAATACATCTTGTATTCATATATCAGACAATACAAGACACAGGTTTGTGTACAAAGAACCAATATTTGACCTTTACACAAAGTTATCTGCGGAAATTTTCTCCACGTAGGATATAAATGGTTGCCAGATGTCAACGAATTTGTTTACAGATCCCCTAACAGTATATCTAATCTTCTCTAAATGAATGTAAGACATAACTTCTCTTAACCAATGACCATATACTGGAGGAAGTGGATCCTTCCATCGAAGAAGAATGAGTCTTCTAGCCAGTAGAGAGCAGAAAGCTAACACCGTCCTCTGATGTTCACTGAGGGAAGCRTCTGCTGGAGCCACCCCAAAGAGAGAAATGAGTGGTGATGGATGAACAGTTCGTCCAAATAGTCCTGAAAAGGTGTCAAAGATGTCTTGCCAGTATCCATGTAGCTTTGGACAGGACCAGAATGTGTGTAAAAGTGTGGCAGGGGATTGTTTACAACGATCACACGTCGGATCCAAGTCCRTTTTGAATTTGCACAATCTGTCCTTAGACCAGTGTAGACGATGTACTACCTTGAATTGAACTATAACATGTTTCACACATATTGAGGACGAATATATATTTTGAATAATTTTTTGCCAAACTGTGTCTGATATGGATTCCTCCAAGTCCATCTCCCACTTGCCCTTCAAAGAATCTAAATTGGAGTCAGAAAATGAGCTGAGCAGAGAATAAACTCTGCTCATAGAGCGTTTTGTTACAGACTTACACATCAGAATCTCATCTATAAGAGAAGTTGGGGGACGTAGAGGAAAACATCCAGAGCTTGACATTACAAAATGTCTCAGTTGTAAATAAAATCTGTTGAATTTCTGCTCGATGTGAAAATATCCCAAAGAGAGACCCTTCAGTGTAATAAACGAAGCAATATGTGTGACCGACCACATCGAATCAAGAATTGTCATTTTTGATGAAGCGTATTTTTAGATTCCAGGATTTTTAATCTGTTTTTTGAAACCTGGATCATCCTGATGTTAGTGGTTCCAGAGGCGATGGAATGGACTCCTGAAGTCTGGTTTTACTGGTTCTAATGAGGAAACCTTAAACCATGTTTGGGTCTCAGCAGTGGTGGGCAGCACTGATCTAAAAATTTGTTCCACCAACCCTAAAGCACTAAAAATATTTAGGTCCCCTAATTGTAAAGCACTAAAATAAGCCAGTCAACCCATGAACACTCTAACACACAACCTGAGTCACATGTTGTGTTGCTCCAAGTCGTTCTCTGACATCCCACAGCTGTGTTTGGGTTTATACAGTCAGGTGTTTTTCAGTCCTGGTCCTTGAGGCACACTGCCCTGCATGTTTAGAGGTTTCCCTGCTTTAACACACCTGATTCAGACGACTGCAGTTCAACACAAGTCTGTTAATCTGTAATCAATTGAAATCAGTTGTGTTGAAGCAGGGAAACATCTAAAATAAAGCTGTGTGGTAGACGGTAGAAACTGTATGTACCGTATTTTTCGGACTAAGCCGCACCCCCAACATAAAAAAAACCAGTACATCCAAATTTGCCGTCAAAAAAGTGAATTCAACATCAAAACATAAAAAGCAAACCGTTAGGAATTAAAGTTCGGAGGAATATGGTTTTTTCTTTAACAGTTTCTGGTCCAACAAAACGTCTCATTCATCGTCCTCCAGCGCACTGAAACCATCGAAGTCCTCCTCTTCAGTGTCGGAGTTAAACAAGCTGAGAAAAGCTGCGTCACACAGCGGTATCTGTTCAGTGTTGCTTTGTGTGTCGCTGTCCTCCCGGGGTAATGCTGGCTCTGAAGCTGTGCTGGGAAAGCCCTCCCGCTCCAACATACGTCACTGCATGGGATTCCTTCCCCGTGGAGTGCAATGAGGAAAAAGTCTGCGGCTCTTCACTCGACTTTTATCCACAAACTGGTCCTGGATTAAGCTCCAAAGTTTTTATCAGTCAGATTCCACCGTGAAAAATGTCTGTTTTATCCCCTTTTATGAGTTTTTGGCCATTGACTATCTTTAAATCGCTGCTTCCTGGTCAACAGTCGGTTCTGGAAGATGCCTTTTTCTTTTTTCTTTTTTTTTCCTTTCATTTTTGAAGCGAGTGGTTGAAGCAAATGGAGCATAAGAGCCCCCTGGTGGCTGAAGAAAAAAATCCACATAAAAGCTGCACCGGTCTATAAGCCGCATGGTTCAAAGTTCAGGAAAAAAGTCGCGGCTTATAGTCCGAAAAATACAGCAGTTGGCCTACGGTAGGAATTTACCTTCTACCGTCCTGTCATTACATCATCACACCTGTGTCAACATGGCTGTGAGTGTAGAGACAACTGAGCAGGAGTTCAAAATACTCTGAAAATAAATGAATACAGTGTTTTAAAACACGCACAGAGAATAAATCGTCAACGTTTCCCCTCCCGCTGTAGAAAAGTTACATCGAGATCCGACCCTCCCGCTGCACGTCGTGCAGAGCAAAGCTTTAACAACCGTAGTTTTTTCACACCCAAGTTGTCGGAGAAAAAACTTGTTTATGTTACTAACAGATGGTAAAAAAAGACGTGGACGTTTGTTCAGTCATAAATCCATCTTAATGTAACAGTTCTGCTCTGATGATGAGCTCGCAGCAGAGCAACCAGCTGATAAGTTCAGCAGGCAGAAGCTCTTTGTATAGCAGGCAGATATTACATTTATTTGGCTTCATCACACTTATATTCTAGTTATTTGAAGTTGTTTTATGATAGGACTTTTGTCACACTAACATTTTAGGCAACATTGAATTTTTATGTCTAAATGACTAATTTTACTAGAGTTTCTGGTTATAACATCCATTTTATTTTGGTATTGTTGAAAATTTCAGAAATGATTTTGTTTGTTGAAACAGTTTTGCAATATATATAAAACATTCTTCTGTACTTCTGTTTTGTTCATTTGTACTACAGCAAAAATGCTGGGTTTGATTTTGATTAGTTTTCTGCAAAAAAAAAGCTCTAAAAGTTACATTATCTTAGCTTTTTATAATTTTCTACCACGATATATACCGTTACTGTGAAGGGATTCAATTCATACCCTGATATGAATTAGAGGTTATACCGCCCAGCTCTAATCTGAAACCTCAGATTAGGGCTGACTAAACCTCGTGTGCCATGAGGACCAGGGCTGGAAAACACTGACGTGGTGAAGTGACACAAACGAACAAAATGAGTGAAGCTTTCACCCTTAGTTGTGAACAATGTTGATCAATAACATTTAAAAACTTCTAAATTTAGCCTATAAATTAACAAGTGCTAATCCACTAAAATTATAAAATTAAGCAAAAGCACTAATCAGGAGAGTAGTTCCCCTTGGTGCTTTAGTGCTTTAGGGGACCTGTGCCCACCACTTGTCTGTCTTTTGGGGCTGATTCTGTCGGGTGGTTTATGGGATTAATTTAATGATTAAGCTTTAAGTTTTAATTTACTGACAGAGTCTGAGTGAAGACACTCTTATACTGCAAATAAAACAAGATATTTATTGAATTCTTGTTATAAGAAGCTGTCGTGACTCCACAGTCAAAGACTTGACTTTTATTTCAGGTTACACTCTTCTCTCAACACATTTTACAAAACTCATTGAGATTTTTAAAAAAAATTACTTTCAAGGACACTTATTTGTTTTTTTTTTTTACTGAAGCTGTTTGATAAATATTTATGTATTACAGTTAAATGTTATCGTAACAGAAATCTCAATGCAAACTGTTTTGTGTGATTTGCCGTCAGTGCAAATCTTCGATTTTGGATTAAAGAGGTCAGAAATCAAGTTTTTTTGTTTTCCGATTCAAATAATAATAATAATAATAATGCATTAGTTTTATATAGCGCTTTTCAAGACCCTCAAAGACGCTTTACAATTTTTCATGCATCATTCATTCACACTCACATTCACACACTGATGGCAGTAAGCTATATTGTAGCCACAGCTGCCCTGGGGCAGACTGACAGAGGCGGGGCTGCCATGCTGCGCCACCGGCCCCTCTGACCACCATCAGTAGGCAAGGTGGGTGAAGTGTCTTGCCCAAGGACACAACGGCATGTAGGCATGGGAGGGAGTCGAACCTGTGACTTGCGGGTCCCAAAGCCGGCTGCTCTACCACTACACCACAGCCGCCCCATTATTATAAATAATAATAATAATAATAATTGGGTAATTAATCGATTATAATCGTTAGTTGCAGCCCTACAGGATTTACCTTCTGAAAGAGGAGAAACAAAAAGTGATTCTCAAACTGGGGGATGATGATTGGGTCATATTTTACAAATGAAGTCTGATTGATCACCTTATTTTAATTTTAGGCTCAAACTCCGAGCAGACCTCCTGTTTTATATATTTTATATGTTTAAGTGTTGTTTTTCCTCCTGCAGACCTCTTGTTTTATATGTTTAAGTGTTGTTTTTCCTCCTGCAGACCTCTTGTTTTATATGTTTTATATGTTTAAGTGTGTTTTTTCCTCCTGCAG